CACAAGTATAAATATATACATATACCTAACACACAAGCATAAAGATATCTGTATACATATACCTAACACACAAGTATAAAGATATACATATACCTAACACACAAGCATAAAGATATACATATACTTAACACACAAGCATAAAGATATCTGTATACATATACCTAACACACAAGTATAAAGATATCTGTATACATATACCTAACACACAAGTATAAAGATATCTGTATACATATACCTAACACACAAGCATAAAGATATCTGTATACATATACCTAACACACAAGCATAAAGATATCTGTATACATATACCTAACACACAAGTATAAAGATATCTGTATACATATACCTAACACACAAGCATAAAGATATCTGTATACATATACCTAACACACAAGCATAAAGATATCTGTATACATATACCTAACACACAAGTATAAAGATATCTGTATACATATACCTAACACACAAGCATAAAGATATCTGTATACATATACCTAACACACAAGCATAAAGATATCTGTATACATATACCTAACACACAAGTATAAAGATATCTGTATACATATACCTAACACACAAGCATAAAGATATCTGTATACATATACCTAACACACAAGCATAAAGATATCTGTATATACATTACATGCTGATCAGGCCTTAGTTTCAGGAATGTCCCTTACGGAAATTTAACCTGAAATTTTCCATAATTATTGGTAAAATTTCCTTAATTTCACATTTTCTGAACTCTTAATATGCTTTCTTTTATTCTTTAATTCAAAGAATGCTTGTAAAAGGCCCAGGTACATCTACTGGATATCTCTAGATCTACACTATACAATAGCACCACATGCTTTGAGATATCCACGTACATGTAGAGTGGCATAAACAATATAATATACATGCCTGTTTTAAATATGACAGCCACTTTGCATTAATCAGATTATGAATACCATACATGTATGATTCATTTCTCACCTCTATGACCCGAAGTGTTAATTAGCTTAAGATAGTACTATTGCCAGTTGACAGCCAGCTGTGAAGATGAATGGATACCACACATTAATTGGGTTTATTTGGGGTTTGAGCCATGAGTTGTTATTTAAACCTTTGTGCCCTGCCAAATGAAAGTGACACCGTTTTGGAATCAATACCCTGGCCGCTAGAGATGTGCCCGTTACTAGAAGTGGTACCTGGTAATTATATTTGGATGGCAAGACAACACACAAAATACTAGCAATAGTGTAGTCATACAACTTCAAGAAGGCCGAGTCTCTATAGCTATAGCCTACGAAAGATTCCTAATTATCCATCTCAGTGTTTTCTCCAGGTAGGGGTATGATAGCTGCGGACCAATAATAAAAATAAAAATAAAAATAAAACGTTCGGGCCTAGAAGCTTAGGTTCCCGCAGCTAGGGGTATGAGGGGTCACACTGGTTTTTTTTTTAATCTTATAACAATAACCGATACTGAATTTCCATATTAACAGATGCAGATCTTATGAACAAAATTTCAATGAAAATGGACAGCAAATGGAGACACGGGAGAAGATACATGGATGGACATTATTGCATGTTTATTTTGATACAGGGCACCCCACATCTTGGTTCAGGGGCCCATATATATGAACAACGAAATTCCATGGCCACATCACCCTTATAGAACATGGAGATGGTCAATATTAATTATATGACCAGAAATGTTTTCATTACCTGTTATAATTTAATTATCTATTTCAGACACTAACTAATCCAGAAATATGTGTACTGTATTAAATCAGACATTTGTAAACTGAACCTGTTGTGTCAAAAGACATTCAGAATGCATAATTGCCATCCTTTTTGAAATCTAAACATTAAAAATATCAAGTAAAATGTGTTTATATAATATATACCCCTAGGGAGTACAATAACCCTTTAAAATGTGTTTATATAATGTATACCCCTAGGGAGTAAAATAACCCTTTAAAATGTGTTTATATAATATATACCCCTAGGGAGTACAATAACCCTTTAAAATGTGTTTATATAATATATACCCCTAGGGAGTACAATAACCCTTTAAAATGTGTTTATATAATATATACCCCTAGGGAGTACAATAACCCTTTAAAATGTGTTTATATAATATATACCCCTAGGGAGTACAATAACCCTTTAAAATGTGTTTATATAATATATACCCCTAGGGAGTACAATAACCCTTTAAAATGTGTTTATATAATATATACCCCTAGGGAGTACAATAACCCTTTAAAATGTGTTTATATAATATATACCCCTAGGGAGTACAATAACCCTTTAAAATGTGTTTATATAATATATACCCCTAGGGAGTACAATAACCCTTTAAAATGTGTTTATATAATATATACCCCTAGGGAGTACAATAACCCTTTAAAATGTGTTTATATAATATATACCCCTAGGGAGTACAATAACCCTTTAAAATGTGTTTATATAATATATACCCCTAGGGAGTACAATAACCCTTTAAAATGTGTTTATATAATATATACCCCTAGGGAGTACAATAACCCTTTAAAATGTGTTTATATAATATATACCCCTAGGGAGTACAATAACCCTTTAAAATGTGTTTATATAATATATACCCCTAGGGAGTACAATAACCCTTTAAAATGTGTTTATATAATATATACCCCTAGGGAGTACAATAACCCTTTAAAATGTGTTTATATAATATATACCCCTAGGGAGTACAATAACCCTTTAAAATGTGTTTATATAATATATACCCCTAGGGAGTACAATAACCCTTTAAAATGTGTTTATATAATATATACCCCTAGGGAGTACAATAACCCTTTAAAATGTGTTTATATAATATATACCCCTAGGGAGTACAATAACCCTTTAAAATGTGTTTATATAATATATACCCCTAGGGAGTACAATAACCCTTTAAAATGTGTTTATATAATATATACCCCTAGGGAGTACAATAACCCTTTAAAATGTGTTTATATAATATATACCCCTAGGGAGTACAATAACCCTTTAAAATGTGTTTATATAATATATACCCCTAGGGAGTACAATAACCCTTTAAAATGTGTTTATATAATATATACCCCTAGGGAGTACAATAACCCTTTAAAATGTGTTTATATAATATATACCCCTAGGGAGTACAATAACCCTTTAAAATGTGTTTATATAATATATACCCCTAGGGAGTACAATAACCCTTTAAAATGTGTTTATATAATATATACCCCTAGGGAGTACAATAACCCTTTAAAATGTGTTTATATAATATATACCCCTAGGGAGTACAATAACCCTTTAAAATGTGTTTATATAATATATACCCCTAGGGAGTACAATAACCCTTTAAAATGTGTTTATATAATATATACCCCTAGGGAGTACAATAACCCTTTAAAATGTGTTTATATAATATATACCCCTAGGGAGTACAATAACCCTTTAAAATGTGTTTATATAATATATACCCCTAGGGAGTACAATAACCCTTTAAAATGTGTTTATATAATATATACCCCTAGGGAGTACAATAACCCTTTAAAATGTGTTTATATAATATATACCCCTAGGGAGTACAATAACCCTTTAAAATGTGTTTATATAATATATACCCCTAGGGAGTACAATAACCCTTTAAAATGTGTTTATATAATATATACCCCTAGGGAGTACAATAACCCTTTAAAATGTGTTTATATAATATATACCCCTAGGGAGTACAATAACCCTTTAAAATGTGTTTATATAATATATACCCCTAGGGAGTACAATAACCCTTTAAAATGTGTTTATATAATATATACCCCTAGGGAGTACAATAACCCTTTAAAATGTGTTTATATAATATATACCCCTAGGGAGTACAATAACCCTTTAAAATGTGTTTATATAATATATACCCCTAGGGAGTACAATAACCCTTTAAAATGTGTTTATATAATATATACCCCTAGGGAGTACAATAACCCTTTAAAATGTGTTTATATAATATATACCCCTAGGGAGTACAATAACCCTTTAAAATGTGTTTATATATATATACCCATAGGGAGTAAAATAACCCTTTAAAATGTGTTTATATAATATATACCCCTAGGGAGTAAAATAACCCTTTAAAATGACATACTTTAATTTGAGTTGTTCTTTTAGGATGAAATAATTAGATCTTAGAATATGGGAATAGTTCAGCAAATGAATTGGTTGCAAAATATCATACTAATATTATATCTAACCCCATCCTCGATTTCCAGGGGTTACGATCACCTACGCTCTCTAATGTAAATCGAGGATGACCTAACCCATTCATCCCTGAAGTAACATTTGAACCTTACCAAATCAATGACAGGGCAAGTCTAGTTTAAATATGTGGGGTTGAATGAGTTAAGGGTCCAAAATCGGGAGTCTACCTCTTAAAAAGGGAGAGTTGGCAAGTCTAAGAATGTAAAGCTTCAGCTTGCTTTGAAATGTTTTCCATGCCAGTCCATGGTGTTCTGTTTAAAAGGATTTAATTCTTTATATATATAGCACAAGATTGTTTATACACTACAGTAATCATGGCTGAAGTGCACAGTGTGAAATTTGAAGCTGTGATGTAATCTGCTGACATTGGGTTATATCTAGTACTAAAGACTAACTATGGAAACAGAACAAACCATTTAAATGGTGCCCATAAACAGTAAGTACAAACTGACACCAAACCTAAATATTAATACAGGTTTTACTCCAGCTCAGAATATGACGAAATGCATGAAATACAAGATTCCTTCTCTTGGAGGATTTTTTTAAAAATCATTCCCTTATAAAGGTGTGGGGATACTGAATATTTGAAGATTGTTGTCTTATATTCTAAACATTTCTTTAATTCAATGTTAATACACACTGTTGGCATCAAACTTTCAAAATTGTGCAAAAGATCTTGGAGAGTATAAGATTTGTATAGAATTAAAGGAATAGAAGCCATTCAGGTTCAAAAGGACTGTGTCCCGCCTTACCAGACAGCTGTGGCTGTGAGGACACTCCGGTGGTCTTTGAATGGTGACAGCATACTCTCCCCTAGCAACATGTTGGCAATGATACTGCCTCCAAAGCAGAGCAGCATACTGGACAGCCAACATGATAACGGGTGTTTTCTGGAAAATGGTGACCCTGAATAACATACAAATAAAACTTATTGTTTTCTTTGCCTTTGAGCGTAATTTTTTAAGTGTAAGGTTCAGGGTTCATCTAATACAAATTCTTAAACTAATACTTTAATACCGTATATTTTCGCGTATAGTGCACATTTTTTTAGGTAAATATTGTCATGTTGAAAAGGGGGTGCGCACTATACGCAGGAACAAGTCATTCTTGGGTTATTGTTCTCGAGTTTCTGGTCTGCCATATTGGATTACCTCCCTTCAAATAGTTTTATTTTGAGTCGTCGGTCATATATGATAAGATTGAAGTTTAAAATAACAACAAAGAATGAAATTCTTTGGTGACACAATTTTTACCTGCTCTTAAATGATTAAAATCGGTAATCTGTGGTCATGACTGCTGATTTGGCGACAAACACGAGCTGGGCACGTAACATTTTTACAAGTAATTTGACTGAAGGCATACCGTCTGATCCCGGACAATAGGCTAGGTAATGGGAATTTTTTTCTTGCAGAAAAACCTGTACAGTATCAATTAAAAAAAATAAAGAGTATATAGCTAATCTAATTGAATTAGAAACTTTAAATATCACGAGGCAAAGAATTTCAAGTAAAATGGGCAAAATTTACCCTAAATTACAAAGAAAGATTTAAACTCCCCACAAAATCTTAATTGGTCCCTGAAGTTTACTTCACATGACACCAATAGCAGCAGATAAATTACAGATAATTAAGTTTTCATAATTTTTTAAATCTAAAGACCACAGGGATTTTTACATTGACAAGATGTTGAGATATTATACTTTATGTACCAGGTACATGTATCTTAACAAAATTTTGTTATATACCTCATGTTCTCCACTTAGGAGGGAGTATGGGCCATGATCCATATGTAGATAGCATATATCAAAAAAAAAAAAAAAAAGATGTAGTCTTATAGGAACAAGCAAATAAACAGGCTCAGCCTTCCTATCAATGACCAGGGAAGTAAATTTAGGGTTCCAAGTAGGCAGTGCCTTTACTTGAGCTTAATCATGACCAAGTACCTGATATCATGCCTAGTGTGTCCCAGCACAGTATTGTTAGAATATTGATATTTACTCAAATTTCCATTAAAATAGTGGAAATGAGTTTGAAGGCTAATAACTCTATCAAATGCCAAAAGAAACACTGATTATCTAACAGATACCAGACATTATTGATCTATTAAGCCACAAGCTGTCATTGGTACTAATTTCCAGGGAAATCTGATCGCTGGCGAGTTTTGAACAAATGAGCAGCCATTAGAACTAGGAATGGGCTCCTGAGCATGGACCTGTCAATGCACTATAGATATTTGATTTATTCCACAACATTATCAATAACATCACATCCAGCAGCAGAATGATTGAGAAGAAGTTCTATATTGTTATTAAATTACAAGAAATACTGATATTTAACAAAGTCATAGAAACGAAATGTAGCAGATTATTTCAATTTTCTCTACCAGCTCTCATTGATAGTCTTTTTTCATAAATGACAGTCAATTCATTACAGCAGTATTCATGATTTAGATAGAAGACCTGGGCCCATGGTGAATGTTTCGCAGAAATGTGATGGTCTTCATATATGTATACTGTTGTACAAACAAAAACTTTGTAACATCTATGTATCTCTGGATATCTTTCCAATATATTCGTTTGTTATTTATCAATGGTTGTTTGCAGCTTTACATCCTCGCAAACAGTTAAGGTCATATGAAGATTGCTCCCGGTATTTACCAAAATCGTGAATAGTTCATATATGAAACTGATAGAAATACCATACTTAACGTAATGTACTTGTGATTTTTTTTCTTTCTTTTTTTCCAAGTGAACAAAAAGAGTAACAAAAGTATTGGTAAATCAACACAGTAGCAGTGTTCGGTCTTAATGCTAGTGAAGGAATTTGAGGTGGATACCAGAATATTCAAGCAGAGGTCCGCCAAAGGAAGGTTAATACAAGCAGGTAAGTGATGGAGCATCATAACCAATGATTGTGTAACAGTAGACTTTATCAAGCTGACAGGTTTCAGATGGCTCAAGTTGAAGCCAACCATTATAATTCTGTTATAACAGTTCCGGTGACAGTTGACTTGCCATCCACAACTTTATTAAGTCTGTCATTACAGAATCCTTGGGCGTTGATGCTCCCTCACTTGACGTTTCGTTTTTAATCAATAATACAGGACATATAATATGCATCCATATGGTAATAAAACAAGAGGCCCATAGGGCCTGTATCGCTCACCTTGATATCTAAGCAATCATGGCAGAATATTCTCCAAATGAGATCCAAGGGAATATGCCAGACCACAAGGCCAATCCTTGTAGCATATATATCTGTATTCAATTTTTCATGCCCAGCAATTTTATGTATGGTTATGGGGTGGGGATCTCAACTGTTTCCAAGCTGTAACGCAGAAACTAGGTCCCTACGGTTGTGGCCAGACCCCAGGATCAATTCTAATATCATGACTGCATTTGTCTCTTTTTGCCCAGCATTTGTATATATAGTTTTGGGGTGGGGATTTCAACCGTTTCAAAGTTATGACCCAGGGGTTAAGTCTGCAAGGGTGGGGCAAACCCTGGGGTCAATTCTAATATCATGACTGCATTTGTCTCTTTATGCCCAACAATTGTATATATAGTTTTGGGGTGGGGATCTTAACCATTTCAAAGTTATGACCCAGGGGTTAAGTCTCCAAGGGTGGGGCAGTCCCCAAGGCCATCCTGGAAGCATA